CAGACTCTAAGGCAGTGGTTTTCAACCTTCTGGCCCTTTAAATACAGTTCCTCATGTTGTGACCCAACCATAAAATTATTTTCGTTGCTACTTCATAACTGAAATGTTGCTACTGTTATGAATCGTAATGCAAATATCTGATATGCAGGATGGTCTTAGGCAACCCACAGGTTGAGAACTGCCAAAGGGTCATTCGACTGCCAAAGGGGTCATGACCCACAGGTTGAGAACTACTGTTCTAGATGCTTGCAATAAACTCCCTATGATTCTATTTGCTGCAATGTACTCTCAAAGGACACTTAGTAATATAAAGTTCCCATCTTATATAATAAAAGGCTAATATGCAAATTGTCCCCTCGACCGGGAGTTTGACCAGGGGGCAGGGCTGGCTGGCCTACTGTGCATGAATTTGTGCACCAGGCCTCTAGTTAACAAGAAGGCATGAGTTTGTAAATAAAAATGAGTAACTTATAAATTTCATGAAATAACAAAAATAAAAGATTTTAAATCCTCAAGCAAATATGTAAAGCCAATTCTTCATTGAAAGGATACAGATTTGTGAAAATTGTAGGCAGGCTTCACTGTAAAAAACAACAAACAAAATAAAACAGAAAATCACCAGATGAATGCATGTTTCCCAAATACTGAGTTGCTTTTATAAAAATTTACTATACCAATTACAAGCATTTTCCTAAAACTACTAGTTCCTTTCATAGCAAACAGCTGGAAGGGGAAAAATATAAGTCTAATTTCTTTTTTGTTTTATAATTTTCAGATTAAAGAGCTTACTCTTGCTACCCACAAACTGGTGGCTGGATTTGGTGGCTAAAACTCAAGTTATTATCTGCCATGTTGCTTCCTCAGCAACAAGTATACCCAAATACAGTATCTTGTAACAAGATATTAATGCCTATGACTTACTTGTGCAAGCGACAATACTATACCTGTAATAACAAAGAATTGAAAACAACCTAAATATCAACCAATAAAAACTGATTAGTTATGCAATCATAAAAAGAAAAATGGTGCCCAGTGACATGGCTCAGTGGTTGAGCATCAACTTATGAACCAGGAGATCACAGTTCGATTCTGGTCAGGGTTGTGGGCTTGGTCCACAGTGCAGGGCATGCAGGAAGCAGCCCATCGATGATTCTCTCATCATTGATGTTTCTCTCTCCCTCTCCCTTCCTCTCTGAAATCAATAAAGATATATATATATTTTTAAATGCTAGATAAATAAGCCTGTATATATTCTCAAGAATTCTGAAATTCCTCCTTCTTCCACATTCCCAGTAAAGCCCTACATTCTTCCTGCATTACTGACACTAAAAGGTGCTTCTGGAAGGTAATGGACAATATAAATGATATAATATACATTAAAATGATAGATTCTTTTAAAAAAACTATTACAGCTCAATAAATATATAGTTCAGTAACTACTGTGAAACAGACTGCACTATAATTTGCTTTATGCAGTCTGTTAATAAATCACAACCAAAGACTACAGTTGAAATGTTTTTTAAAAACAAAAGATTAGGGCATGCAGAAGGCAGCCGATTAAGGTTTCTCTCATCAATGTTTCTATCTCTCTATCCCTCTCCTTTTCTCTAAAAAATCAATAAAAGCATATTTTTTTTAAAAAACCCAAAAGATTAAAACATTAAGCAAACCTTTTGGTATCGATTTTAATAGCAACAAAACTGTTTGAAGATGCTTCCGACACTTTCTCATCTTCCCAACTTGCAGCCATCTGTGTAGACTGCTCATCATCACCTATAAAACATTTCAAGGATTCTTATTACATAAAGCCAGTATCTGCTGATTCTTTTTCCCCGGAAATCTGGAATTGCAAACAAAATATAATCCAACAAATATTGTTTTCCTCCAAATGTGAAAACTGAAATTTTCCATAAAATGAAAAGTATGACTATGCATTTGTTAATAAAAAGCAATAAAAAGCACAATATTGCCATTTTATATCTACAATAATTACAAACCATGGGTACAAATGTAGTGACTATTTTGGCTTTTCAACATGACTTTAGATATAAAGGTAAATTACTCCTCCTTTATGTAGCACCTTTCTGTTGAGTTCAATATCCTTCACAACATTTATTCTCCAAAATTCCTCCAAGGTAGATAGAGGCAGGTACAAGTCTGTTTGTAGTCTTGGACTTGCTTTTTCTTATAGGTATGCTAATCATAAAAGTTATGCTGACCCAAAACTAATCTATGGTGGAGGTGCTAGGAAAAGAACATGAATAAATCTGGGCTGCTGAAAATGTTTTATCTTATCTGGATGACAGTTACACAAGTGTACTCATATGCAAAACTCCATGAAGCTGTTTCACTTAATATATCTCACCTAATATACTGTATGTTATACCCCAATGACAAAATTTTAAAAGTTTTACTTATCAAGAGATTATTTCCATTTCAATTAACATAACCACTTATGGCTGGACAGAGGTAAACTTACCTGAGCAGGTCACTGAAAAATATTTCTGACATTAGCAGAGCTAAGCACTTAAAAGGTGAGCAACTTTTGCCAATTTACAGATTTAAAAAACAAAAACGTTTTCAGGCTACATTTTTCATTTTACAAAAATGAGATCATTCTATACCTGCTCTTTTGTAAGCTGCTTTCATCACCACCACCCAATTTATTAGCCTTCCCCATCTCAGTTATCTGTTCATGGTAAGTCCATCCTTTCAGGTCTCAGGCTAAAACTTTAGTTACCATTGACTTCAGTTCATTCATCTCCAAATAGTTGACCCTTGAACACAGGGGTTAGGGGCACAAGCCCTCCCCTCATCCCCTAACCCAGGCGTAGGCAAACTACGGCCCGCGGGCCGGATCCGGCCCGTTTGAACCCCCAGGGTGTGGGCTCCAGAGGACGCCATTCTCTGGCCCATTTGGAGGCCTCCTGGACAGAAGTGTCCTGGCCAAGA